AGAGTCAGCATATTGCCCCCAACAACAATCTGGGTCCTCATTTTACCCACCTCGGAAGGATGGAAGGCTGAGTCAACCCAATATGATTATGCGTAGGATCACACCTCATGCTAAGTTACAACCAACCAAACAAGGATTCATGTTGTAACAAAGGAGAAGTCACAAAGGAAAAATGCAGCCTCTAGAATCCTCCCCCCCCGCAAAAAAAAACCCGTTTAAAAATGTTCAAAATGAAACAAAATAATTAATATATCAGCTTCTAAAGAAGGTAACAAAATGTTAGCAGGTACCAAAGAAAAGGCAAAACTAGTCAATTCCCATCTTGGCCATTTTTTTAAAAAAACAATATGGGAGTATGTGTTTCACTAAGCAGTTGTGAAGAACAAGGTCAAGGAACAGGTTTGTTTTCAACTGATACATTTTTTCTATATTTTGAATCAATTCAAATCTCCAGGGTCAGATAAACATCATCCTAGGGTACTGAAAGATTTGCTGACGGTCTAATAGACTGTTCATAAAATGTGAAATTTGAGATAATGGGTAAAGTACAAATGAAATGAGAATGAAAAATGTTTGTTAATAATGCTGAAATTACAGAGGTCAACATGGATTTGTCAACTATACTGCATCACTAGAAGAATAGTTTCCAAATCACTGGAACTAAGTTTATTTCATTATGCATTAATCAGACCCACCAGTTCTGGGCATTAGACTTTTAATCTGAATTCTTCTTAGATTAACTAGGAGGGATTCAGAAAAGACCAATGAAGTAGCATGGGAGTCTAGAAATGTAAACTGAATAAAAGGCATCGCAAAGTAGAAGGCCAAGACTTGTTCATTAACATCGCAGACAGCAGGACAAGTAATAATTTAAAATTATAAGAATACAAGTAGTTCGACAGAAGAATTAAATACCTAGAGGGTTGATGGTCTCTGTGTCACTAGATGTGATAGATATTAGATAGCCACATGTCACCAATGCTTTAATTTGAATTATTTCCAATTCTGTAGTTCTACACAATGAGATTCTGATCTACACAGTATGAGAACCTAGTTGGTGTGTACATTTTTTTCCATATTCTGCAGGACAGATTTTGGGTACAGATTGAGAGTAGAAGTATCGTTTTGATATAAATTATAATTCTGTTTTAAGAGCATTGTGAAACATTTCTCAAAATTGTTACATAAAATGCCAAAAGAATTTTTACTTCACATTCCCAAATATTTTTTTAAATGTTATATATCTAATTTAAATTTTCATCAAGCACCAAAATAGAATTATTCTGCCTTTGTCATATTACCTTTTTTGCATTGGGAAAGAGCACAGGAATGAATCTAAAGTTCATGCTTCCTTGCTGTATAAATTCAATTTGCATCTGAAAACATACAAAAGAATGAAAATTTGTCAACATTAATTTCAGATGTATGTGTTCTGATTTCTAATGTACAATGGCCTTCAGCTATAAACAGACTCATATCCCTACAGTAGCACACTGACACAATCAGATAGATTTATGTATGTTTTTCTTGGATTATGAATTGCATAGAAATCAGAGGGGCAAAAGTAGGTTGTGATCCAATGTTAGGCACATCACATAAGTGCCCTGATCTGAGCAATATTGTTTTCCATTCTAGATTTTTGGAAGTAGGGGAGCTGGGGTGTACCAGTAAAGGAGAATATTTGTAGCTCAGGGTTGAAAGAAGGGATCCCTGGTGCTCTCTGAGCTTGGTTGCTTTCTTGCAGACGTTTCATTATCCGAACTAGGTAACATCAGTGCACTGATGATATTACCTAGTTTGGATAATGAAACATATGCAAAAAAATAACCAAGCTCAGAGAGCACTAAGGAGCCTAGGTGTTAATTACCCCTTATCACTGAGCAACAGATAAACGTGTGCAAGATGCATATGCTGTTCTGTGAGGTTTATTGCTGCGTATTTTTGTTGGAAGGCCCTTGTCTTGTATTTATACACCTGTTGAATGCTACTGCATATGGACAATTGAAAGCAGAATTGTATTTCATTTCTGGAAGCTTTTCAATTACATTGCAGGGCTTATTCACTTACATCTGAATTTTTCTTTTAAGTATGACAATAGTAATGAAAATATCAATTGGATTTTAATCTGTAATAATCTTGCTTTAGAGATTGAGAGCAGATAGAGATTGGAATAGTCAGACAAGTCCAGTTTTATCTCTGGCTGAAATACCCCAGCCATAACGTATCACCAGTCTGATTCAAGCATTCATATGCTGCTTTAGGTTTCAGAGCTTCAGCCATTTGCAAAACACTAAAAAGAATAAAGGAAGTTGGGACAACACATTACAACGTTGGCAGCAGGCTTGTCACTGCATCAAGGGCTAGGCCTCCTTGGGAGCCTAGAGAGAAAACACTAACTTCTATCAAAATCAGTGGAATGGGATCAAGACGTATGTGGCATTTGCTGAACTGTAGGACTGAAATATGTGTCAGAAAATATTCACTGCTAGTAAGGATCAAATAGCTTTTCCTCCCTTCTCTGCCTCTTTCCCCCACCACTGCCACAGAAGGGAGCTTATCTTTGCATGTCTAAAACACCGCCTTTCCTCCCACTGCATGTATGGGTCTGCTCTCACTCTGTGATAAATCTGTCCTGTTGGAAGCTTTCTAGACAAGCCTGTTGTATAGCATTTCATTCCTAGCTGAAAGGGAGGAAGCTCTGTTGCAGTATATTCAATCTGATCTAGGAAACCCTAGAGAGAATCCTCACACATGTTATCAAGCTGAGTCTCTGTGGTAATCGAGAAGCCATAGGGAGACAAAGATCAAATGCTCAGAGAAAGAGAACACAGTAACTCAGGGGTGGATATGAAAGTGTAGCTAGAATAATTCCACAAAATACAATTCTGTTTGGGGTTTTTTCAGTCTGCCATCAGTGGGTTCCAGTGTGTGTGTGTGTGTGTGTAGCAGTTTTCTGTGTTCCACATGTTCAGTGCAGGCATAAGATATGTTCATATCATAGTCATCTGTGGCAAGGCACAATGATGTTAAGATGCAAATGTCATCACTTGCCTCCCTTGCTCCCCAATGGGTACTTATAGATCACATGGCAGAGATTTGAACAGAGGTTGAAAGGATTTAAACAGGTCACAAAGCCACACATATAATCAACTGCATTTACAGAACATGGAGTTGCCGTGCCCTCTAAAAAGCACCGCAGAAAGCAAAGTTTTAAATACGAACAAAGCAGGGCTTAACCACAGCACAAACACCAATTATTTGGCCGAAGAAGAAGAAGCGGAAGACGTCCTTTTGAAATGGCAAGCACGTGTCCTCACTCACCATCCTGTGGATGTACTTAGTATGTAAACCATGTTCGTCCTTGTCCAGCTGGGATTCAGCCCTTTCAACATCCTGTTTGTATTTTGGACTGATTGCTATGATTATCATTACGGTCTTCTGTCAGAAAGAGAAACACTTTTATGAAATCATAAAATGCAGCACAGTTGGGCAAAAACAGCTGGGAAAGCTGCCAGCTGGGACTTTACGTGATCTGATGTTCCTTGGAAGCATAAGGCAAGCCAGTTCCTTTTGGCAGTGAGACGGTACAGTATACATTGGAATTCCTCATACCAGATTTCCTGGATCTCCCATGAAGCAGAGTTTAATTTAACGGAGAGAGAAAATATTTTTCAGCATTGGCCGTGCTGAATCACAAAAAAAATCACCAACTCAGCCTATTGAACATAATTATGCCTACTGTACAAAACACAAACACACACACAGACACAATATGCATATTTATAATGTTGATTCTCACAGCTTGGAGTAGCTAAGAGGCTGTGGAAGAAATTAAACACCTTATTTTCAAGAGAAGCCACAAAATTAAAAACTTATTTTTAGGAGATAGATTTAAAAACAAACAAGCCGTAATCACAAAGATCCTCCTTCCACAAAGGAGAATTCATACACGGTACTAATTCACACTGATTCATATACACTCTACTAATTCACACTGTGGCTTTACAAATGACTGTATCCTATCTGAAACCAGAAAGAGCATTGAAATTTATAGCAGGACTAGGGGACAACCTTTTCTGCTTGGTAGAGCATGCTCTACTATATTATCATCTTCAGTTGGCTGAGGGGTAGACAAGACAGTAATGTAATAGGGAGATGAGACCAAAATTGTCAGTTTGTTCTTTGTGGAATCTACAGTATGTGTCACTTTTGTAGGGGTATGAAGCTTACTGGAAGTGTAGCACATGCTTCCTTTTGTTTATCACTCAACACTGGCAGGATATTGACTTGGGGGATTTACCAGCCACTTTGGCTTCCACATTGTTGTGGCATAGGTACAAAGCTTTGGAAACCGCCTTTTATCTATATGATTTCCTTATCTAGTCTTGCACGACTACTAAGCCAACATATCAGTGGTGGGTTTCAAATTTTTTTAGAACCTATTCTGTGATTATGGCCTATTTTGTGGGCGTGGCTTGGCAGTCACGTGACTGGGCAGGTATGGCCAACTTGACATCACTCATGCACACTCAGTCACATGACCACCCCCCAAGTTACTTCCGGGTCCACCAGTCGAACCTCCTCTCACCGGATCGGTAAATTTCACCATCCGGTTCTCCCGATCCGGTGCGAACCGGCAGAAACCCACCACTGCAACATATGCAAACTTATCTGTCCAACATGCTGTTTCTAGCAACCGATAGATTTCTGGGTATCATAATCTTTTTCTTTCCAAGCAAGACCTGTCTATCTCATCAAATTGTTAAAGTGAGCAGAACCTGCGGCAGGTTCATATAATGAATTAAGCAAAAGTTAAATCTTATTTGGTAAACCAAGCCCCAATAGCCTGGGTTTACATGGCCTACCCATATGAACAACTATAGGTTAGTTCAACATGTAAATCACGTTCTCTTGGCAGTCCACTGCTGCTCATATGTTTCTTTGAACCTAATCCAAAATATACAACATAGCTAATTGATGTGCTTGATATATGTTTTTGTTCACTCTTTATCTCTCTCCCCCCGTCTCTCCTCACACACACATACATTCCTTTACATAACACAGACAAGATGGATAGCTCATTACTCAGAGAAAGATTCCTCAAAATGCTCAGCAAAGGAATATTACTGATAAAAAGAGAGCCAGGCTTCCTTCTCTCAGTTGCTTCCATTTTAAATTCGAGGAAAGGGGAGGGAGACAAGGCAGGAAAAATATTAATAAGTAAGCCACGTGTAAAGGAGAGAACAGATTCCTATTTTAGTTCATTGTGCCTTAGGAAGCAAACTTAAGTATTCCATGCACGAAAAAAGTGCAAGATTAACATTTTATCTTTACTTACATCACTTAGATAACGTTCCATCCACTTGATAATATCAATTCCTCGGATGGTGTCCTCAAATATGTCAATCTGTTAAAAAGTGAAAATATTAATATGATTTCTTTAGCACTGGCTGGTCTCTAGGAGGCTACTTTAACCTTCATGCAACATTGGCATCCTTTCCAAACAGTTTGATTTAAGAAGCTTTCAATGCAAATATAGCTACACCAACAATACTGTCCATTAAAAAAAAATCCTACGTTTAGTACAGCTTGGTAAAAATTTTGTAGTTCATATCACAATGGAGAAATTGGTTAGATCAACTTGATTCATCCTGGAAAAAAAACCACTTGTGTGATAAGGCCTTGCCCACTTTGCACCTGTGCCATCCCCATGATGACCTCATCTGCCCAAAAAGTTATACTCACCTGTCATAACTCATGGTTTACAAACCACAGTGCTCGAATTCACACATTTTGCCAAAACTATGAGTGTCGTGTTAAAATACTGCATACTGTTTCGACCCAACCAGGATCTTTAGGAGTCCCAGAAAATGGCCTTCCTTTGGTCATGGACAAAAAAGGAAGCTCTTGTTAGAATGAGCCAAATTTGTTGCCTCCATAGATTGCAAAATGCCAGGCCAACTTCTGCCATTACACATCATGAATTCGTATCTACCATGTCAAGAGTATGTTTCACTCAGTCTTGGAGGAAGATGTTCATAAACTTACTGCCACGGAAGAATAAAATATAAAGAGTAATTCTTGACATGAAAATAGGTCTGTTCCTACTAATATTGAAGTCAACCTCTCTGAATGTTGTTCACACATCCAGAGTGCTACTGGAGACACCTTTTATAAATAAGTTACAATTCTTATTTCTTACATCACTTCCAGTCAATACATTCACTTTAAATTCACATTTACATGTATTACTTAAATGAAATTTATGTCGCTTTTTAATATAATATTCATTATGAAATATACAATATTTAGGCAGGCAAGCACATTCAAAACAAACAATACCACTTTGAATTTAGAATTGCCTCTCTTCAGATATTCACACTTTTTCTCTTTGCAGTGCAGCAGGCATCCAGAATAAAATACTTACCGCAGTCTGAAATCCATTCACAAATAAAAAGTTCACAAATTTCATGACCTCCACAGCTGCGTCCACAGAATAGGTTATAAAGACTTTACCTAGGAGAAGTATAATTATCAATAAATAAAACAGGTGTACTTGGTGAAACAAAAGAGTTCTGAATTCCAAAAAATTCACAAAGGCAGCCTACCATGAGTAGCTGCAAGACGATATGCTGCAGAGAAGGTGGCAGGTGTGGCCAAGAGGCCCTTTGTACATCTAGTGCCGTCAATTTCATCCTTCCTGGACCAGGAGATTCTCCAAACAGTCGCTAATGCCTTGGCCACCTCACAAGTGGACTATTGTAATGCATTCTACACAGGGTTGACCTTGAAGGCTACTTAGAAGGTACAGCTGGTCTAGCATGCAGCGGTACAGACAGCCGTGGGTAGACTGCATTATGCCATTGTGACCTTACTGCTCCATGAGTTTTATGTCTTACCCATTGGCTTCTGGGTGCAATTCATGGTGCTGGTTACATCTCAGAACTGATGAGGCTCAGGAAGTATTAAAACCTGGCTGTTCTGCCACATTTGGGAGAAGGTTGATGGTTGAGCCTACTGCATGAAGGAGGGGATTGTTAATACCATTTACGACAGTTGCAGTTTGCCGGGGTCATGTGATCCCTTTTGTGACCTTCTGACAAGCAAAGTCAATGGGGAAACCAGATTCACTTAACAACCGGGTTACTAATTTAATAACTGCAATGGTTCACTTAACATCTGTGGCAAGAAGTATCGTAAAATGGAGCAAAACTTACTTAACAAATGTCTCACGTAGCAACACAAATTTTGGGTTATAAGTCAAGGACTACCTGTCTATTGTCCACCTCTATCTAAGAAGACGTTGTACTAGGGCCTCTGTTTACAGAAGAAGAAGCAACAAGATAAAATCTTTTTTGGTTTTCCTTCAGCTTTTTAAAACTTTGTCCCTGCCTGTGTTTTTAATCCTGTTCTTTGAGTGTTTCTCTTTTCATTTTGCAAGCACAAAGAGACACCCAGAGTCCTGTGCTGAATAGGCTAGCTACAGTATATAAATCAGAAAGATTTATAGGAAAGTCTTTCAAGCTTTTTGCTAATATAGCTCTACAAATCTCTCAATCAGTAGAAGAACTCAATAATGCAAAAATGGTATTTGATACATATTATGGGGGTGGGGGAAGGGCAATGATCCTTACTTATTTCCAGCAAGTAAATACAGACAAACAACTAACAAACAACTAACAAACTAACAAAACTAACAAACAAGAAAGAGCAGAAACTTACGTAGTTCTTCAGGCAAATTGCTGGTCCTCAGTGTCCCTCTGGCTGCAGAATTAGTCAGGGGCCTTGGGATAGCCCCCGAGGTGGTCATACTGCCAGACTGAGCCATGGAATCAAAAGGAAATCTCTCTATGCCCTCATGGGCACCGTGTATTTTGAATGGTGCGTTATTCTCAAGCATCTGATTCTGAAACTGGTCACTGAGGAGAGAAAGAAAAACCACTTTAAATTCTGAAAATGTTCAAATCTCATGATTCTAAGTACACGTTCGGTGTCCTTTCTTAATAATAAAGGCATAACGATTCTCTGTGTTCAGAAACAGCTGGGGAAAACAGCATTTATAGGCCAGGGAAGATTAAGGACCCCACCCAAAAGCTTCTTTTGTTCTAAAGTGAAAAATGAATGAATTAAGCTTTCTCCTATTTATTGAAACAGAATTGGGGCAGATTCGACTTAAACCAGTCTGCCACCATTTGTAATTGGGGCCTGCCAGGACTGAAGATGCTCAGGGACGGTGCAAGACTGCAATCAGAAATCCTAATGACTTCAACAGAGTTTGTTGCTCAAAATAAGGATGGGAGGAAGTGGTATCAATACATCTTGAAGTATACTTTCCATATGCCAAGTGTATCCAAGCTCTTGAAAAGACCATCAGGATCTTAAAAGAAGCCTGCCACTGGCATTTTTACTTTTTTGATTCCAATTATTTCTTTTGTTCTTTTGTTTATTATCTTAAAAATTTTAAAGAAATCCTGAAGCATTTGATAGGAATCCGAGATCTCCTCTTCCTGTGGGATAAAAACAGTTCTGCAATTTCAATCAATCCTGAAGTCAGGGTTACTGTAGCCGCTAATCCTTTGTGAAGTGGGAATTGTAAATCATTTCAAAACTCCATTACGGTTTGGAGCAGGAAACACATGTATGTTAGTCACTATCTGCCCTGCATCGCCTCATTCATTTCAAATATACTTTGTTCCTTGGAAAAGCAGTAGTATACAATATGTGGGCACGCAGACATAACCCTTACTATGCAAGATGAATTGTCTATGTTGAAGGACAATGTTTACAATCTAGTTCCAAATTGTGTAACCTGCAGTTGTCAGTGGTCATGTGGCCTTCAAACTAGTTTCATGGGAGATGACAAGATGGTGTGTGTAATCCTACATTACTACAAACTCCACCCACTTTCAATTCCAAATCCACCCACACTCTGGTTGTTATGACTGGTTGTCTGATGCCATAATTTAGTGAGTCTTCATAATTTAGTTATTAGATAGAGGCTAGCTCTGGGTGAATAATCCAAAGAGGCAGGAGAAGAGAAAGCACTACATCTAGAAAACCTGGAAGCTAACAAGGAGAAAGACATGTAATTACTGAACCTGGAACAGAAACAAAGTATATAAGAATTATTTGGTTTCCCTGCCAGAAATCAGTTAGGCCTGTGAGAAGCAGCAGAGATTCATATCAACAAGGCAATTCAGCCTGGGAAGACCATTCAATTTGCCTCAGTGAAATGACTAGGGAGGTTTTAAATTACTTTAGGCTTATATACATTTTGTGGATGACCTCACAGCAATAAATTACTATACTCTTGAGGTGAGAAGTTTAGAGAAAGAGGCAAAAAAGGTTTACAATTTCACTCAGAACCTTTAGATCCCGGGTGTCAAACTCCATCGTGTCACTTAACATATTGTGACTCTTTTGCCTTTGCAGAGCCGGGGAGGGCGTGGCCTGCGTGACACACCCGGCCCATTTGACACCCCAATACACTAATGTAATTTACCCACTAATGACTTACTGTGTCTTGAAGAATCACCCAATCAAAAGTTGTGTCAAAGTAACAGCAATGACAGTCTTTATATCTGATCAATCATGGCCAAATGAAGACTTAATTTAAACAATGAAATGGCCAAATGCACTTTAATGGCACATTAATTATTGTAAGTGAATTTGTACTTTTGCCCATTTCTAGTATTCTGTTTTACTCTAAGTCAGTGGCTTGGTAAATTTAAGCTTGTCTGAATCTGAAGCAGCCATTCTTCATATATTTGGAACAAATAATGACTAAGTTAGGCAGTAGTTTTAAATTCTGGTTCACAGTAACTATAAATGGAACCTCTTTGTATATATACTTAGCCTCAGGTGAGCCATCAGCCTTGATTATAGGAGCAAATGAGATGGCAGGTGTGTTGATATTATCCAGGCAAAGGTTAGCATACCGCTCATATACACAGGATGCTAAAATAATCATCATTAGCTTTGCCTGCAAAAAATAAAATAAGCTCCAAGGTTGGAAAATACTTACTGAAATCTCTGAAGTCCTTCGGAAGAGCTTTCCCCCTGAGGCAGTCTTTCTTCATTACACTTGGGTCCATGTGGACTAGAATAATGCGGGATTATTTGCTGCGCAGGGCGGGTGACTCTTGCACAAGGCCCAGGAAGAGGAAGCTGCACTTGAGGTGAACGTGCAAAATGTTGGTAGGGGGTTTGCCCATCTAAACATAACATAACAGAAAATAAAAATTCAGGCTATTGTATAAGTGAGACTCCTTTCCATAACAGGTAAATAGATGGTATAGGCCAGCGATGGCAAACCTTTTTTGGTTCGCGTGCCATAAGCGGGGGGAGCGCAGGGGGGTCGTGCGTGGGCGTGCTGCACCCATAATGCAATACGCGATCCCCCCAGTGTGCATGCGCGCATGACAGGTACTCCCCCATTTTTTGCATGTTTTTTTTTGCCCTCCCCAGGCTCCAGAGGCTTTATGGGAGCATGGGGAGGGCGAAAACAGCTTCCACCACCCCCCTTGAGGCCCTCTGGAGGCTTCAGGAGCTTCCCTGAAGCCTCTGGAGCGCAAAACAACCCAGCCCTATGGACAAACCGGAAGTTCGGGAATGGACTTCCAGTTTGCTCGTAGGGCCGTTTTTAGTCCTTCGGAGGCTTCAGGGACCTTCAGAAGGCTTCTCTGAAGGTTCCGGAGGACTAAAAATGACCCTACGAGCAAACCGGGACTGAAAAATGCCTTTAAAAAAACACCTCCCGTGCCCTGACAAATGGCTCCGTGTGCCATCTGTGGTACGCGTGCCAGAGGTTCGCCATCCCGGGTATAGGCAGTCCTCAATTTACAACAGTTCATTTAGTGACTGTTTGAAGTTACAACAGCAAAAAATTTTTGATATGATCATTTTTCACACATGCAATCATTGCGGCATCCCTATGGTCATGTGATCAAAATTCAGACTTATTCACATTTATGATAGTTACAGTGCCCTGGGGTCAAGCAATCACCTTTTGCAACCTTCTGAGAAGCAAAATCAACGGAAAAACTAGATTCCCTTAACAACCATGTTACTAACTTAGTAACTGCAGTGATTCACTTAACAAATGTGGTAAGAAAAGTCATAAAAAGGGGTAAAATTCATTTAAAAAGGTCTCAGTAACAGAAATTTTGGTCGTAAATCAAGGACGACCTGTATGATGGCATGATCAAACTGGATGCATTCCTTGTACCAAGACATGGTTTTATTTATTCACATTTTATTGACTAAACCCCACATGCAACTCACTAAGGCTGCACATGGCTCAAAAACAATTCGGAAGAAGTGCTTGGGATTCCTGCAAGCACAGCATCCCTTTGCTATTCATTAAATTATGCATGGCATTAAATATAGTAATGTCACACATTAAGATTTTCTTAATTGTAGCTTATTGAATAATCTGGGTTGGCTGGAATCACTTAAGGATGCAGTAATGAATTCATACAACATATGAAATCAAACCCCAATAAATTACATTACACTTAAGTATGACAAAAAACCAGTCAATAAGGACAACCATTTTACAAAAATGCAGTAAATGCATGTGTACCAGGAGAAACACCATTTATGACCAATGAGCTTACATGGATTCTGGCGGTACATATTCTGATTGTAGTATCTTGGATGCCATTGAGCTTGTGGTGAATTATAAAGATGGGGCATCTGTGGAAATAAAGGGTATGACTGAGAGTCCATCTGTGGATATTCTCTGGACCTCAGAGACCTTGGAAGGTCTTGTATGTTCAAAACAGAAGTAAAGGACAAGGGAAGCTCAGGTTGTCCAATGCCCAGAGGATCCTGAGGCTGAGAATCATATCCTGCATCTTCTGTCCTTAGGTCTACTGGCACCCTATTATCATGCTGCCAGTTGGGCTTTACATTTTCCTGATTTTCACCAAATGAATGCTGGGATATTTCAGATGAACTTCTTTGCAAATTACTAGAATTGTGCCCAATGTCAAGAGAATCAGCTGATGGTTGAGACCTCAAGAGCTGGTTTGTTTTGTGTTGAGGCAAATGATTACATTCTGAACGATCTGTTGAATTGCTGGATGGGCCAGGAAATTGTCCTCTTCTAGAATCATAGGTGTCTTCTGGAAGACTATGGCCATAAGCTTCCAGTATGCTATTATTATAATTGACATGGTCAAGGTGCTTATAGAATCCTAGTTGCCCATATATCGGATGAGATGTTTGCGGTGCATAAGATCCCATAGGCATTGAGTTATTTATAACTTCTACAGAAGGGTTCGAAGCCTCTTTCAGTGAATGTTCTGGAAATGGAGACCAATCAATAGTTTCATCCACTTCAACTGGAATACTTCGACTCATTGTAGCACCTAAAGTGGGGAGGGGAGGGGAAATATACAGTATAAAAAAGGTTTATTATTTACTCTGCATAAATGTATCTAATTCAGATGTGGTCCCAGCAATAAAATGGGAAATCTGAGACATGGAAGCAACACATCTGGAAGAATATAACATCCTTCCATTCCCCACTATCCTGTCAGCTTCTACTGAAGAAGCTTCTTGAATGAGAAGTGAAATGTCTTCAAAAGAAAAAACAAGAAAGTCCAGTTGCCTCCTGAAAAAGCACCTTGAACTGAGAATGACTGAGAATCTCTACAGAATCTGGAAGATGGGGTAAAGTTGGAATTGGCTGAATGTCAGAGTTCCAAATAGCATCCGAAATGAAATCAGAGTCTGAGGCAAAAGATTCCTCAAAGTTCCAATTTGGCACATCTGGGAAAACCCAAATCTAAAAGCTTCCCCGTTTTCCCACCCAGTTGAAAGTTCAAGATCCTGCTCCAACATCCATAAGTTCATCACATGGTCCAATCTCCCACTGCCATGAAGACAGATTCCTCCCATCCAGTTCCGGCCAGGTGCAGAGACAAAAACGACCTTGAGTTTCTAAGAAGAATGTTATTATGGCTACATATCACCAAACTCCTTATAATCCCCCCTCCCATTTTTCCACACTAGAAAGTAGACAGTAGAAAGTGTAGCAGGCCTGAAGTCCAAAAGAAAAGATGGCTTGTAGGCATGACACTGAATTGTATTACATAATTGGGCATCTTATGGTAATACTTTAAAAAGATGACTGACTTGGCCAACGCTTGCCTAGATACCTGAAAGAATTTAGATTGTCATAGTTAGAGCTTTGATTGCTCCTTTCACCATAGTTCTTTATTCCATCCAATCCTTAGGACCTAGTCAGTGGACCAGTGGAGGGAACTGAGCTGGCAAAACCTTCCTGCAAGGTTTTTGAGAGGCTGAAATTTTCTAACGCATTTGACATAATTCATCCGGTTCAAGATTAGACAACCATGATCTGTTTTATCATCCGTGGTTCGGTCTGAATAAAAGGCTCTGCAAAGTGGCAAAACAAAACACTAACCTTGTAAGGATGTCATTTCAATATCCTGTAGGAAATCTATGGAAATAAATACCAAGTGCAAATGGTAGCTAAGGGTGAGGGGTGGGGGGGAGGAAGAGAAAATATAAATCATAACATAAATAAACAATTATGGTCATCATTCACAGAATAGATTTAGAAAAAGATTTATTTCCATAAAAATATGCTCGTTCCCAATTTCCACTCATTGAAATGGCTGAAAGAGGAGATGTGGGATAAAAATAATGCCTTATTGCTTTTGATTAATTGTATCATGCTCTGAGATCTACTAATTGTATCATGCTCTGAGATATAGCTTGTGTGATATTCAAATAAACAAGTATTTTAAAACACTTTTCCTTACCTTAGAGTTCTTCAGATGTTTGGGAACCACAACAGGAAGAGGAAGGAATATGGGTGGGGTACGCTCCCTGCCTTGAGTTACCTATAAAGTAATAAAGACAGGGTAAGAATACAATAAATAAGTTTCAGTCAGCTCATTTTCAATCAACAGAATGCTTTTATGGAGACATTAAAAAACATATATTCTTTGAGTTGTTCTTTTGGTAGGCCTGGACAGCAATATAGGGCATTGCAGGCCAAAGCAACTAGACGCAGGGACATTTTTTTCCCTTCAAGCCATCACTGCTGAACACCTAATTCTCACAGGGCTGTCTAATGTCTCAGTGTATTTACTCATATAGTATGGCTGAAGTATTATTTATCCTTATTATCTTCTTTATTCCCCCTTCTTATTGGTATTATTATTATGATTATCATTGTTCTGTTGCTTCCATGCACACTGAGAGCTTCTGCACCGGAGACAAATTCTTTGTGTGTCTGATAATCACACTTTGTCAAATGCAGTATTCAATTCAATTGTATCTAAGCTTGTTGTGATGTGTGGCTAAAATATTCATCATCAAGTTCCCAACTTCAAAATTGCACGTGCATTTTTAAAACCAGAGTCAGTAGACTTCTATAGCCGTGATGGCGAACCTGTGGCACGCATGCAAGAGGTGGCACTCAGATCCCTCTCTATGGGCACACACGCCATCACCAGCTGCTCTTCTGGTTTCCTGTGTGCATGTCTTTGTGAGCACCAGATTGCCGGAAGATGGCCTAAAAGGGCCCCAAAAATGCCCTAAAACCAGGCTGAGTGCGTTTTCCGGCCTTTTTTGGGCTATTTTTCGGCCAAGAAAATGGCCTGAAAACAGGCATATTGCACGCCGGCTAGCTGATCTTTGGGTTTCTGGTGCTCTGGCATGCACACACATTCCGGTTTCGGCACTTGGTGCCAAAAAGATTCACCATCATTTCTCTATAGTATCATAAAAATCAATGAGGTATATGCTTTGAGATGCAATGGGAGCTCCTACTTTCAGTTTTCTAAATATATTTTAAAAAGCAACTGCATGATCCCTGATTCACACAGGACTGTATGCGGGCTGGAGAATTCTAGGAATTGGAAGTCCACACATCTAAAGTTTCCAAGATTGAAAAAGATTGCACTAGACCAACTGGTTCCTTTCCCCACTCATTCCCACCACACAGAAGCAGCAAGGGAAAGGAAATCTTCAGCCTTAGGATCCTAATAAATGGAGTGTGAGTTTCTCCATTCTGACCTGTGCAGCTCTCTGGTCCAAAAATCAATTCATTTCATTTGAGGAAGCACATGTTCTTCATGGTTAATTTTCTTGCCAAGTTTGGAAGAATAACAATGAGTTCCAGTAGAGCTGACTTCAAGTATTTCTTCAAAACTTGCTTCAGTTGCATAAAGGGGAAAATTCAATAATGAACTGAAACAACTCCAAATTATTTATTTTTACTTTTTGCAGAAGAAAAACAGCTGAGAGTGATTTTAAGACAGCAAGAGTTCTATACATTTTAATATCAAGTCACTTCCACAATTCCAGAAAAATATTTAAAATGTATTTATTTCTACAGGGGTTAAGGGTCACCCCTTCAACGAAACTTCATAAGAAATAAGCTGAATCAGAAAACTATTCTGAGTCTCTGAAGTATCAGGTTAAATCTCATCCTGACCCAAACAGTTGCAGCATTTTAAAAATATAAAGGAGAAAATAAAGCAAATTTCTCTATACTGTATTGCCACTTTCTCATTTCCACTCCTTCAGTCATCTTATAATCCAATTCCTACAAAATTAAACAGAAATGAAGAATACAATAGACATACGCCTATCAAGTCCACATATATCTAGTGTTGACATATAATCCCAAAAGTTGGGCTTACAAGCCTTACATCTATATGGACTGTAAAACTGCCACATCTGAGCAAGAAAGCAATGTTACTCTGTAGTATTTAAGAATACTTTAAATTTCGTTTTTCCTTTCCTTGTCTAGAATTATCCAACTCAGGAATTTTTGGTAGGCAATCCTGAAGGCCTTCCACAAAGTCAGAGGCAGAAATCTCACCCCCTTACAAGCAAAAACACCCAGCTGTGGAATCTGTGCATCCTACATCTGCCCTGTCAGTATGGCTGAAGGCAGATGAAACTCCAGGGATGGGGGGAAGTGTTTCCGCTTGGCTCAGATACCAGCAGACAGCAGCAGTGTACACATTTAAATGATTGCTGGATAATGAATCCAATCAGGCTGTCAAGTGGGAAAGGGGAGAGGAGTCAAATAAGATAATTTGTTTGGGTAATTTGCCCTGAATGAGTCCATATTAAGTTTGTAATTCATATCCAATCATGGCCAGCATTTTGGAAGGAAGAAGAGGGGGGGACGGACCAGAATCCCTTCTGCTCCGACTATTTGTGCATTTCTTAAGACAATTTGAACCTCATTAAAATCTCTGTACTTTCCCTTTTAAAGGCATGCGTCAGCCTATGAAATCTCCAAAGAACAAGGCTGATTAAACTCCCTCTGTTTTTGATTAAATCTTTTCTGACAGTAGAGAAGAAGAATGTGGAATAACACATGGCAAGCTAGGTAGATTCCAGCTTCAAAGGCCACGCTGTTAGCTGAAACAGCTAGGAAATAGGAAACAGGGAGGGGGTGGGTGGTCAGACGGTAGGTAGGGCCAGCCTGAGCTTGTAACAGCATACTCGTTGAGAGAGAAATGCAATTCAGTCTACTTTTTTCAGCAAAAGCATTCTTCCTAAATTAGAATATGAAAAGAGAGCCACAGCCTAACTGACGCTCCCTTTTCCCTCATTTTAATTTCAACTATTGTACTATCAATTTGGGATTTTTCACATAAGTAGATGATAGTTCTAAACATGAAGAGAGAAGGAGTGGGATACAGAGTTGCCTTAAAGCGGTGCCAATCATAGCATGGCTGATAAGAAACAGGGCTGGAAAATTCATACTGAGGCGCCACCACTAAGAAGGTTCTGCTCCTGATACCCATCAATATAGGGACCCGTCTAATAGGGGGAGACCACTGGGACTTACTCCCTAGCTAACACATCAAGGCTTAACTTCCTTTTCTGTTTAAGTGGTAAAAGAAGATATGAATAGAAAACCTTGCACACCTCACTAAAACAGGCAGTTCATTGTTTTCTGTTCAGGCAATATATGTAGGCACTCAGAATATTCTTGGAGTTGGATGATCTTAACAAATCCAACAAATAAATAAATCCCAACCATGATATATTTACATTCTCAAAATGTCACCAGCCTCTCAAGGAGATATGTTGCAAGTTCATTTTTTGAGTAGTATTTTGGCAACAAATCAGAGAAGAAACATAATCTACTCTACGCGTATCCTTAGGAGGGTTATTTCATACATTAAAAACAGCTTTGCATATTAATCCTCTCGTAGAAGAGAAGCAGGTTGGGGACAGAGCCTCCTAGAGAAAATCTATCCAGGGGCAGCTAAGAGTTTGACCCCAGCTTAATGGCACATAATCAATCAAACTTAGACAACTCTGGGCCAACTCCATGGAATCTACAAGAGGCAAAGCCATTGTAGTTGGGCCTCCCAGCCATTTTTCAGTTGACAACACAGATTTATTGGCAACAGAATCACTGTGTCTGCGTTTTCAAAGTGCTCTTATGGCCTGAGATAATTCACGGCGGAGCCCAAGGTCTCACTCCCAACTAGCCTGCTGCAGCCAGAGTAAATCAGGAGTCAGGAAGGGAAATGAGGCCCCAGCTGAGAAAAACAAGAGCAGCAGTGGAAAAAGTGGGCCAACAGCCACAGCCAAATAGGTAAAGGAGGGGAGCTTTTAACAACTCACCTTTTAGACCCCAAAGGGGATCAGCAGGACAGGGCAGACCACCTGGCCGCCTGGTGTCGTCCGTCCTTCTCTTCTCCCCCCACCAGATTGTCCCTCCTTGAGGTTCTCCTGGCTTCTTCCCTCCTCCCTTGCTCTGCCAGGTAAGTTGCCGAACAGGCTCCTCACCAGGAAGTAGATGCGTGTATGCAAATCGCGGAAATAAAGCAGTGTCGGACGGCTCATTTTGAAGAAGTCAGTAGGGCTGTCAGAGGAGAGGAAGTGCGACTGATAATACCGGAGGAGGAAGCGTTTGACTAGAGAGGGTGGCTCAGGCGGCGAGGTTGGGTCCCTTAGCTTTCAAGCTGGAGAAAGGGGACCCGGAGCGGGGCGTCCAGATTTCAAATCAGCAATCGACACGCGCGCCACAGGAGCCGATTCCTGCCCTGCCCTTTAGGAACAAGAGCCGGGAAAAGTTCACTGGGTGCCCGTTTAATCCTTCTACTGTGCAACTTTAACGACCGACACGAGGCTTTTCTAATCAGGGATCGGACAGAGGTTAATAGGCACTGATGGGCATTTTTTTGACGACGTAGCAGTCTGTCGTCATGAAAAAAAAATGCCGTCAAAAAGCAAAGGATTACATTTATTTAGTTTGTCAAACATGTAAAAGATAACCGGTATAAGTATAAGCGTAAATATGAAGACAGTAAAATGGGTACGAATAAATGGAGACAGTAGCACAGGGACGGTAGGCACGCTGGTGCGCTTATGCACGCTCCTTTGTTGCAGTATATGCGACCTCATAACGGCATATGTTACAAGAATCTGAAGGACTTGGGCATATGAAAGCTACCAAACCCGAGTTGCAAAAATCTGCAAGGCTAGGAGCATGCAGGAAAGTGTCTGTATAAATTCTCAGTCATGCAGGTCATGGTTGTCCCAAAGGTGCTTTTTCGAGAGGCATCCTGAAAAAAAGCACCTTTGGGACGGCAGCAAAGAGATTCAGAAAACGACACTGCCATCTAGTAGTCATCTGGATTTTTGCAGCCTGGATCTAATAGCCTTATTACCGAAACTAATTTTTAAAATGTCTAAAAAACTAAAATAACACTATACCACCCACCCCCATCTCCACCCTCCACAAAAATAATTTGCCTTGTTTAAAGTGGTGGTTTTTTTTTTAACTTTGCAACTCTTAAGATGTGTGGAATTCTGGGAATTGGTCTACATTGCTTTAAAGGAAGAGTTGTCAATCTTTTGGCAGCCAGGAGTGGCAGAAAGACCTGTGATGTGGTTAAGGTGTGGAAACAGAGGGTGCCCGAGGTTCTGGTTCACCCGCAGAAGTGAGTCTCACCTTTCCCTCGCCCCCCTCTCAAACACACACCAGTGGTGGGTTTCGGCTCCCGTTGCAACCGGTATGCTGCAATGGAGCTGGGAGTGTACCATGGGCACACAGGCTGCGCACACATGCACACTCACCGCCTGCAACGCTCCAGCTGCTTGGCGGAGCATCGCACAGGCGCCGTATGCTGCGTGTGTGTGCGCAGATGGCCCGTTTCCTTCAAATACAGGTAAGGAACGAGGGCGGCGGGTGGGCCCTCCAAAGCACCGTTCCGGTACAGTGGCTGCTGTGTCTGGCAGGCACCAGTACGCGCGTACCAGGGCATACTGCCTGCAACCCACCTCTCCCTCTCTCTCTCTCTCTCTCTCTCTCTCTCTCTCTCTCTCTCACGCACACACACAAACACACACACACACACAGAGTCAAGATTATATGACAGCAGATTAGGAAGGTATACCATAATGAAACAAACAAAATGTAAAAAAGTTATGATATGTATGTTACTTACCAAGCATATTTACATTACAAACTATCTTTACAATCCCAAAGGCATGTCATAACTTTTGAGCATCCCTAAAGTTTGGAAATTGAAAGTTGAACATTTTCATTCATCCTAAACTGTATGTTCTAAAAGAAAAGAGCAGGAAGGCTACGTATGTCTAAAAATAATATATTGGAAGCCTGACTATCACTTCGGTACTATGTTCAGGTAGTCCTCAATGTGCAACTACAATTGAGCCCAAAAATTTATGTTGCTAAGTGAGAAATTTGTTAAGCGAGTTTTGTTCCATTTTAATCATTTTTCTTGCCATGATTGTTAAGTGAATCACTGAAGTTCTTAAATTAGTAACACGGTTAAGTGAATCTGGCTTTCCCATTGACTTTGCTTGTCAGAAGATCGCAAAACGGGATATGTGACTCCAAGACTCATTAACCCCCATCCCCGCATCTGTTGTAGAGAATAAACTATCATATTAAATGGTTGTCCATGAGATCTAACTGATATTCTTTGACCATTGACTAAATTGACAAACATTGTCTCAATTATGTCTTGCTATGACTTGAGTATGTTATTATCAAATAATTGCATTATCAAATAGAAGTGTTATAAGATGAAATTCAAATGTGCACAATTTATGTAACTGAATCCCCAAACATGCTTTGATTTTGTTAAGATAAAAATAGTTTATGGTCATGTCTACAGTACAGGACTCACTCTCTGATTCCATCACACTCAATTTATTCACTTTAAATGCCAGCAACACTCAATATAAGTTCACTGAGTTGATTGGCTGGTGCTCATATTTTAAGTCTGGCCAATCACCTTAAGATGTAACTGGAAGTGTATATAGCCTTCTCTACTTCCTCACTTTTTATTTGCTCCTCTCTCTTATAAAATAGAGATAGTTCAAAGCTTTTGCAATCAATGTCATGGGTGTCTTAAAAGGCATACATATTATAGTCAGTTGATAAGGTAACTAGTAGATTAAGCCTTCCTTCCTTCCTGAGGGAAATGCATATCAGATGTCTGTGCAGTAGAAATAGCTGACTTTTATATTTATGAATCAGCTAGCTTTATGTGACCTGGGGGAATCAAATGTTCAGACACAGTAAAGGAATCATATTTTAATGTGTGAATGCTAATATATTTGGCATTTATACAGGGTTGGGATTCATGTACTACATTGTAGGGAACTGATAACAGAAATGATATGGTGGTAGCTATCTATGATAATGTTTGAAAACTGGTTACGTATATTCCATGCATGCCACAACATGTCTTCATGACATGCACATATTTCTTCACCATCCAATTGGATGGTGCACATTTTTATCTTTAAATTTTATTTATATCGAGAGAGACGGAAGTGGTTTGCTTGGAGTTTCTAATTGCTTTTGAATTTTCTGCAGTAGTTTCTGATTGGCAGGAGAACATGCAAATACTGACATATATTTTATGCTGCTTATATAATTCAGGGGAACTCAGATCTTTAGATTTTCAGGACTGCCGGAATTCAACTGCCAGAATTCTTTGCTGCCGCCTAGTGGTTGTCCAGATTTTGCAGACAAACCTCATAAAGTAGTAACTGCAAAGTGATTGTAAAATACAGTTCTGTATGACTGAGCTTCCATATTTCAAATAAAATTCCAGTTATAAGAATATACTTCTGATATTCGACTTGCTTTTTATCTGGATTTACTGTATGCAGTGGTGGAAGAGTTCTGAAGTGCTATTTGAAAGCCTTGTTCATAAATCTGAACATTTGAGGAGTGTCTGCAGCTAATAGGTCAATGATGACACCAGGATTTCTTGTATGAGCTCACAGGCTCAAAACTGAAATAAGCATAGTCAGAAAGAATGCTTGGTCAGCCTGCAAGTATAATAGTTCTTAACTTTGATTGTTAGACCTGCCCTTGTTCCTCTGATTGACGATGGCATCCTACTTCTCTGGGAAAAATCCAAGGGCTACATTCTCATGTACATCTTTGACGGCACCATTGGAAGTAAAACCAAAGGTGCTCCAGAGGAATAGGTGGTATAGTTTGCGAATAAGCCTAGTGAATAGATAGGAAGTTTTAGTTATCAGTCAATGTGTTTCTCAGGAAATAACCTCATGGTAGAGTCCTGCACTGAACATTTCATAGACAGTCAACATATGTAAATTATCCATGCTCTAATAAGAAGGTAAATTTGAAAGATAGGGATTGGATGGAAATGAGAGGAGGGCTTTCCCCTTTTGACTCTAGGAGGCAGTACTCATCTCCATTTCTTAGCTGAGGGGGGCCAGCTGAAGACATTTGTTGTCTGAAGACATTCCCGTGGTCATGTGGCCAGCATGACTATGCCAAGGAGCACCAAATGCTTTTATCTTCCAATCAATGTGGTACTTTTTTAATCTACTCATTATTTATCTATTTATCTACTCACATTTGCATGCTTTCTAACTTCTATATCAGCAGGAGCAAGTAATGGGAGCTGACCCCATTGCACAGTGCTTGGGTCTCAAACCCAGGGTGTTAGCTTTCCAGCTGACAAGCTCGGTGTCTTTAACCACTGAGCCATCATGCTGCTGCCGCCCTCACAAGAGATAGTAAGCCATATTATTTGATTTTGGCTTATAATTTCCAGCTAATTATAGTTCCTAAATTACACATGGTTCCTAAACTATCCTGGCAATGCCTAAACTATCCTGGCAATAATGTTTGTGGAAAATAATTTCCATTAATCTTGATGAGCCTTCTGCCTCAAGTAACGATTTTACTCATAAGGCTGAAAGAATGGTTTTTTCTATAGAAGTAGTACTTAGGAACTTTTATACACTTAGAAACTATATATACTTAGTATATATAGTATTTGGTCATTTCTTTATTGTTTCACTACAAATAAAAATAACAACACCCACCTACCTCTTGGCCTCTTTTATAGGTTTCCAGAAAAGCTAAATTATCCTTTCAAGGGATAAATCCCCCCCCCAACCAGGTTTGTTCTACTCCATGATACAAACAAAAGAATAAACACAATCAGTTGATTTATAAGCAATTTCCAATTAATTCTCTCTTAATGATAAAAAACCCTCTTGCTGTTTATTAAAGTTTTCCCCACAGCAATACATATCTCTTTAATTAAGATCAGCAATGAACTAATGCTTTCCTTATTCCCTGTTGCTTTCAATTAGTCATTCATTGATCATTATCCCGAAGACACATGACAATTTACAGAAGAAGAACAAACATTGGATAGATTCCTTAGAAATTATGCTTCAGGAGATATAATGGGGAAAGAGGTAATAGGGAAGATATTGCAAGGAAAAACTACTTGCTTCATATAGTACTAAGACAAAACTATACCAGCATTTAATAACACTGTAGAGTTTACTCAATGAGACATGCCTTGATTTTATAGAAAAGCGAGCTTCTCTCAACAGATCCCTTTTTTGAATTGGGAGTCACTGGCA